TGCCACTGTTAATGTTGCTTTAATGCTTTTGTAATAAAACCACTGGAATGTTTCAAATTAATACTCCTTATAATTTACAATACATTGGAGGTCAAACCTTGATTTCCTGAAGAATAGATTCTGCGTCAGATCTGTTACCAAGCAGCTTTGACTTGTCAAAGGAAAGATGTATCCTTGAAAGTGTTGTGTTCATCCAGTATTCAGCTTCCTCAACTTCTTGGTAAAACTTAAAACAATATAGATTAGTTAAATAAGCATGAGAGAAAGAAAGAACATTGGGGACTAGTAAAAACCAAGTCAATAAGATTTGTAGCCAGACTTGTGATAATTTAGGGAGTATTCCAGGCCATACCTCTGTAACCTACAATAATTTCTCCCAGATAAAATAGTCTTTTATTTCTTCTTCTTCTTCTTATTCTTCTTCTTCTTCTTCTTTTCCTACTCCTCCTCCTCCCCCCCCCTTCTTCTTCTTCTTCACTTTCTCTTTTACCACTTAGAGTGTAAAGGGAAATTTAAGATTCTGCTTCCTGCTCTTCTGGTGAACTCAACCATAGACACATCCTGCTGCTGTAAAGTTGCTCTGATGTTAACTTTCCATCTTGTTCATGGTCTACCTCATGTTCTATGTCCCTCTCTTTTGTTGTATGCATTGTATGGTATGGCATTCAAGTTGGCAAATTATTTGATTTGTAGCCTTTGTATGTAATTTAGAATTGGTTCTGTGCAGAGTTTTCTCCTATGGCCTAATTCCTGATTTTATCTCTTAATATAATTTCTTCTTCTTCTTCTTCTGCGTTCGACATCAGTCATGCTAAACATTGAGTCCCGTCTGAGTCACAAATAGGATTGTGCGTTTAAGGTCGCCGCCGGTTACCCATAGCTTCTCTTGCAATGTGGCTCCCTTGGGCCAGATCCACAGTCTCTAATAATTATATATAAGCTAAAATAGCAATTAATAATAACATAAATAATAAAAATAATAAATAATAACTTAAGTAAGCCACCCTGTTCAGGCTAGTGGTACACCTGGTATATGATTTTAGACTTTTATTTCTTTTACCATTTATCATTTGGTGGGTGATGTAGTTACACATAATGTCTTTACTTCCCAGAACATTTTCTGTTACGCATTTTAGATTGAGACAGCCACCATGATATAGCAGCTAGACAGCTGCTGGATTACCAGATTACCAGATTTGTAAAAGTTACATTGCTGATTTCTAACCTATGGTGAGACGGCCATGAAAGTCACCACACCTATTCTATACTGTGTAAAAGTTACGTTGCTGATTTCTAACCTAAGGTGAGACAGCCATGAAAGTCGCCACACCTATACTATACTTTGTAAAAGTTACGTTGCTGATTGCGTTACCTCTTGGTATGCTGCTGCATTTCTCAGGTGTACCTCTGCACACTGCGTGACTTGAAACACCCATCTCCAGTTCTGTCTCACAGAGGAGATGCACTTCTGAGGAAGATAACAAAGTAAGTAAAGTAAAGTAAAGTAAAGGACCCCTTTTCCACACCTTTCAGGCGTACTGGGCATATAGGGCTAGACCTATATTTTATAGACCAATCGACACTTGGTGGTTGTCGTGGTGATCATTATGCCGACCGCCTTTACTTCTATGGCTGGGTCAACCTCGAAGCCAAAGTCTTTTTTTTTTTAAATCTGGCTCTGAGTCTAGCAGCTACATCACATGGTGGCTTCCGGGGAAGATTATAGAGTTCAATAATAAGAAAGGAATAGTAAATACAGAGAGGAAATATTGATACCAACATTTATTCAGTTAAGAATTTCTCTTCAGAATTTTTAGTTTTTAACAAAAATATTTTTTAAACAACTCAACAAGCTTACAATTTGAGTTTTACATTTAGTTTTTAACGTGTTCTAAACACTGAAAACTAAATTTTCCTAAATACCAGCAAAGTAAAGTAGTTGTAAAACACTAATGTAGCTCCATAGCAGTGTCTTCTTGATCTTTTGCATTCATCATTAAAAGTGCGAGTGGCACATTGTGTATTTTGTGGTTTACAGCTAGACTGTAATATCTGCATGTTTCGGCCCAACACATCTGAATTTTGTAAACCTTTAATAAGTCGCATTTTACTACATGCTTTTGGGGGTACGGGAGGAGGGAAGGGGTGGGGGGTATCAGAGGGATCTGAAGTAAAGAAAAATAAGGCTATCTCTTCCAAACAGAGGATTCACTTTCTTCAAAGTGGGGGTGAGTCTACCTGAGAGGTGAGGAACCAAGAGCTGCAAACAAATAAGCCAGATCTGTAAAACAGGTGTGCATACAAAACATATGTTCTGAAACAAGACCAAAGTCCAGAAATGGATAAACAACCAGAACTTTCCACCCGAGTTTACAGCTTGTGAACACTAAAAAGAAAAGGGTACCTACTGCTGCCGTTTGGATTAATCCAACTCAGGGCTTTTCTTTTCCAAATATAACAATGTTTCAAATATCACAGCATTTAAAAAAAGGAAACTGTTAAAAAAAAATATACTTTTAAAATATAAAAGTGTTTCAAACATAAAACTTTTTCAAATGTAATAATGTTACAAATATAAAACTGTTAAAACATAAAACTGTTATCTACATCTGTTTCAAATTTACAACTGTTTCAAATTTACAACTGTTTCAAATGCTATAAGCCACAGCTACATCTATTTAACTAATCTCTACCTGAGCTGTTCTGGCTAAACTTTCATTAGACTGTGTTATCCCTCCCTTTTGCTTTGTCACATCACTTGTCCTCACCAGATGGACTGAACGGGCATCAAATTCATTTGACAAATCCTATTTGGCAGATGAAAAAATTAAAACTCAGTAACACTTTTACTGCATGTAATTCTAACAATAATAATAATGCAAAAAAAACCTTATAACGTACCCACTTAACAAAAACTGTTACTATGTTCGTATTTACCGCTTTTTAGGGCAGTGTAGACAAGGAGTAAGTAAAATCCTCACATGCACAGTTGTGGCGACAGCACTAGCCATGCAGCCGTAAATCCTCAGGCTCAAAGACCACCCCCCCCCCTCCCGCTTGCCTACACCGCAATATAAAGGCAGTAATTGGCAGTACAACAGAAGGGTCATGAGCCTAAGGAAAAAGAGTTACATGGCTAGTGCTGCCACCATGGACTGCGCAGTTTAGGATTTTTTATTTTTTTATTTTGCCCCCGACAGAAAAACTCCATCATCTTACTAGGGGTCGAACTCAGGTCTCCGGCATGAGAGCCTGATGTTGTAACCACTCGGCACTTATATATATATATATATATATATATATATATATATATATATATATATATATATATATATATATATAAAAGATACATATATACACACACACACACATATATATATATATATATATATATATATATATATATATATATATATATATATATATATATATATATATATATATATATATATATATATAATTTCATATAGAGGTAGAATGTTAAGTGAAAACTATTGTATGATTTCTACCTTGAAATGTGTGCATTTGAGAGAATACATCAATTTCACAGAATAACTATAATTTTAAAATCACACAAGCCACATTTAATTTCACTGCCATCTCTTGCTACCTATTTCTGTCTAATTTGACTTGGAAAAGCCAGTCTTTTTTTTTTTTATTTTCCCATTGTGGATTTGACCCCTAGACCTTCAGGCGTGCTGAAAATTGTTTTTAGTTAGTTAAGATTTAACAGATAAAAAGGAGAACACAAAAGACCAGATTTTTACCTGTACAAAGTCTTCCAAGCTGGCAATCTGGCTAATGACCTCAAGGCAGGAGTTTCTTTTTTCAGAGAGGCTCTAAAAGTATTTAAACATGTTAGTATTCAATTATAATGATTAACAGGTAGCTCAATAATTATGTTCTTTAATAGTCATCATCTTTTTTTCCCCTTTTTCTTCTTCTTATTTTCCTACTCCCCACCCCCCTCCTACCAACTCTTCTTCTTCCTCTTCCTCCTCCTCTTCTTCTTCTTCATCTGTTCTTCTTCTTCTTCGTCCTTTTCTTCTTCTTCTTCTTTTTTCTTCTCCTTCTTCTTCTTCTTCTTCTTCTTCTTCTTCTTCTTCTTCTTCTTCTTCTTCTTCTTCTTCTTCTTCTTCTTCTTCTGCCTCCACTCTTAAAACAATGGTGGGCACGTTGTATTGTTGTCTACAGCTAGACTGCAATTTCCATAGATCTTATTTCTATAAACTCTTAATTATTGGAATTTTACTACATGCGTGCTGAGGGAGAGAGGCAGGGGAATTTGATCTACTCCATTAAACCACCCCCCCCCCCCAACAACCCCCCCCCCCGCCCCTTTTCCCAAAGTTGGGCCACCGAAACAATTGGGAGGACAAATACAAGTACAAGCTACTGACACTTGTTTTCTGCTCTGCTGAGGTGTAATTAATATATTGTATAATAACACGAAAACAAAGACTTTTTTCCATGGATTCAGATGTATTGGGCATATAGGGCTAGACCTATATTTTAAAGACCAAATGGCACTGGGTAGGTGATGCGGTCAGCATCATATAAATATAAATTTATGTGTGTGCGTGTGAGGGCGTGTACATGTGTGCTTGCACACGCTTGTATGCGTGCGTGAATGTGTGTGTAAGGGCGTGTGTATGTGTGCTTGCACACGCTTGTATGCGTGCGTGAATGTGTGTGTAATTAGGTGGCAGTAAAAGTCTAGGGTCAAGCACCAGCAAGAAAATCAAAGTTAAAATTTGGAGAGCATGCATCTTCCCTGTAACAACATCTTGGTTAATAATGTTCAGGGAAAAAAAAAAAATCAGCAGTGATGAGGCTTGGCCTGAGAAAGGACAGGTGCGATGATAAACACCACAGAAATGGATATACACTATAATAAATAACAAGCTTCTCTCACCTTGAGCACGTAATAATAGATAATGGCAGGTGTGGAATAGAAATTAACAATAGAATGGGAATGGTCTTATTTATTTTTAAACATA